TTTTGATTAATCGAACACGAAAGTTTGAATCATTACCAGCCCTAATAAATATATATATATATATACACACACACACACAGGTCCCATGGGGCATTGCAAGACTCTGACAGCCACAGGCATGTATCCCAGAGGCATAGGAATGATGGAGGTGGTAGTTTCACCAGAGCTGGAGTGCTGAGGTTGCCTGCTCTTGCTGTAAATGACTGATCACTGTTTAAAGGGTTGTGGTCTCTGATATAACTAGCCCTGGGTTTAGTCAAGTGCCTGTGACTGCAGGGAAGGGATAACACAGAGATTATTCGTTTTTAGAGTGGAATTAAGAAGGGTTGATATTAATGCATGATTTAACAGAAGTGCTGCTTTGGGTACTTGCCTAGGAAGCCTTTGTTCGGTTGCACTTTCTTTCCTGTAAATCCGTTGTTCTTTCAAATCTTGTCTCTATGGCCCTGCACAATACTTGAGCGGCGAGAGAGTTAACAACATGCTGTCAGCATCCGATGCCTGGCATACGCTACCTTTTTTGCATGTGATGCTTGGGCCAAAGTTTGTTTTAACTAGTTTTAATAAGGCTGTGGCTCACTTCATCCCACAATAGAGAGCCGCGAGTGTCTCAGAGCCAATAGCCATTAAAGGTTAATGTGTATTCTGGATTAATTACCCACCGGGAACCCGTGGTTCTCCCTGCAGTCTTGTCTTTGGGGGGTATTTGCAAAACACAACTGTTGACGAAATTCTGAATTTAGCTTAAGAAATTTTGGAAACAAAGAGCTGAATTTTATTTAACTCTTTCCTAGCCGACAATAAGGGCTAGATGAGGGGGTAAGAGAAAGAAGTAGAGGGTGAAGGAAGAGGCAGGGGAGGGAGAAACTTGGTACAATCTACCACACTGTGCTGAGAAGAGGTTATAACCCGGTTCAGTCTGGAGTCACATGCCATTGACAGGGGAGAGATTTCCCAGGATACCAGAGACTTTTAGAAACTTCAGCCTGCTCTATAAACAATTTCCAGAACTGCATTATATAATCGGCACAGACTCTTGCCCTGTAAAGAAAATGAGAACTTTACCATATGTGAAATATATTCATTTATATTTCAGGTATAGAGAGTTATGAAGCCACAAAGATTTAAGGAAAGGGTAGGCAACCTTGGCACTTCAGCTGTTGTGGAACTACAATGCCCATGGCATTGAAGACTCTCTCAACCATAAGCATGACTCCCTGAGGCAGAGGCATGACTGGAGTTGTGGTTTTACCACAGCTGAAGTGCCAAGGTTGTCCACCTCTGATTTAAGGTATACAGACCTCCTAGACACTAAAGATTTTTGATTTTCACCATACAGGGGGACCATTAAAAGTGTCCTTGTGGTAGGTGTGACTTGGAATCCGGACCTGCGTATCATCTCTGTGCGTATACACTAAAAAGATTCAATTTCGGAGCCATTATAGAAGAGAGCTTGAGCTTTGCTCTATACCATGACACAAATATTTATCAGACTCTGGATCCAGGGCTGTGTGTGGTCTCCATTTAAAGGGGGTTTCACAGTAAAGGACCCCTGCTGCTCATGAAAAATAGGGGGAGCTGGGAACATGCAGGCAGACTTTTTTTTTTTCATAAGATGGTTTTGTCTAACGAACAGCTAATTAGCAGGGGATTGGCAGCAGAGAAAGGATGGTCTGTGGGTATTTGCTTTGTGGGATGGAATTCTATAGGACATATTGTAGAGACAGAGATAGAGAATCCATCAGTTCCCTGATGCTGGCACAGACCTCTGAACACATCGCCCATACAGCTCTGAACAGTCCTGCCAATTGCCCCTGTGTAGTCCCTATAACAAGACATTTCCCCAATTGTACCACCCTGGCACCGTATACAAAGAGGACATGCTGGAGAGAAACATCAATAACTACAAAGATGCAGCCACACAGTGTGGACATTCAAATATTTGAATCAATGCAGATACACTTAAAGGAGAACTCCAGCCAGGACAGAAGTTGACAGTAAATAAATACACATCAATTTATGAAATTTGCTGCAGGAGAGCCTATCCAGAAAGCAAAGCTGAACTCTGGCCTTACCTCCAGTCATGTACAATTGTACCGGCTCCTCTCCTGTACTGATATTGATTACTCTGATTTCACTGCACAATGTGCATTAGAGGTTGCAGCTTCAAATCAAGCACACCTTATTTCCTGGCTGAAGTATTGTACATCCAGCATCATCTAGTACTTTCCCTCCCAGCCTGACTATCTCTGTCCCTCTCATTTATTGGATTTCACTTCTTTCAATCATGACGGCTCAGGATCACATGTGGGCACTACCTAGGATGCAAATGCAGCCTGCCTAGGAACTCCCACTACTCCAGACTGACATCTGCCTATCAAAGCATTTTCATATTTGCATAACTCCTCTCAAGAATCAGCCTATCACTTACATCAAGGCTCTTGAGAGGAGTACTGAGGGCCTTTGCCCTTTCATTAAAGTGACATTAAAGTAACCCCCCCCCCCCCTCCACCCCCAATGCTAGTGTAAGGACTTACCTTAAATAATGCCTCTTTATCCAATCATCTTCTTTCCAGGAGTTTTCAGGAGTCCCTCCAGCACTGGTGCCGGTCTCTGATCCAGCGCTGACTGCTGTCTCTTCCTGTCCCATGGAGTCTGTGCGGGTGCACACTGCTGCATTGACTTACCCTGTGTCTCTCCTCTTCTCCTGGCCGAAGATCTGAACTGCGCGTACGCCCGCCCCATGATCCTTTGCGGCTGCTTGAAAATCTTCAGATCTTTGGAGGGAAGTGCGCGGCGGGGACACAGGTAAGTTTAAACCTATTTGATTCCTTTTTTTTTTTTCCAATGTTTTTGCATATATCTGCTTGCCAGCAGATATATGCAAAAACATGCAAGGCTTTATTGATCCTTTAATTAAAGTGTAGCTCTGGCCAAAACATTTCATTTGGGGGAATGATTAGAACACATGTCCATTTTTACAGCTCTCTGTGGTCCTGCTACATTTCGTCCTTTCATTCTCGGAGCAATGTATCTGTGAAGGTTGTCATTCATCCAGGCCATGGTATATCTGTAAAAAATAAGTCAAGGCAACTGGACTTGCTGTTTTAAGTCGATATTTACACGGAGGGGATTCACCAGGGTAGAGGCGGCGATGATACATAGCCCGATCAAAGGCTTTGTCCTTTTCCAGTTGTTGAAGTAGATCTATTGCTTTCTTCTTGTAACCACTGGTTGGGTCCCTTCAGCAAATCCAGTTGCCATGACTTATTTTTTACAGATATCGGAGCATTGTAGGCTCAGTGTCAAACTGTAGACCCGGAAAGAGCCTGTCCTCTTTCTTGTCTGAGACCAGTGCTGACGTCAGACATATAATTTGGTAAAACTGTCAGAATTTTTATTATTGTTCAGGATTGATATAGCACCAACAGTTTGCACGGCGCTTTACAAGATATGGTGAGACAGTACAATTACAATGCAATACAATACCATACAAAAGGATTAATAGGACCCTGCTCGTGAGAGTTTACAATCTACAAGGAATAACAAAGCATTTAGCTTTCTTTAGTATTATTCTATAGGAAGTTCTGTTATGTGTTCAGCTTTATGAGTGCCTGTTATCAACAATCATTTGAGACAGGAGGTAAGACACGTCAGCCTGACCCATAGCGGACACATCTGCTAAGAGAATTCTGTGAAATCTGCAATTGCCGATATGTAAGAGGCACTGCTATAACAATAGACATACAATGGAGGAGATTCTGTCATACAAATGTCCACTTGTGGCTGGTTCTCTTGAAAGGTAACTGATCATGTTAAATGTATTCTGACATTTTTCAGAAAATTGGAACTTTGATGAATGAATATGTGACAACATCTACTAAACCTTGTTCAGTGCCAAAGTGCTCCGTCACAGTGCCAAGTCACCAGATGTCTCTATCCAATATTTGCATGGAAAGTTGTGTGAGTCATGGAGAATATACAAAACCCTCCCAGCTCAGGTTAGATCTGTAGCCACCACAGAGCTTACTTATAAGAAGTAACATCATACAACAAATAATACAAAGATGTAATAATATGGATATCCTTAAAGTGTTATTAAAGCCAAGTAAAAAAAAAAAAGAAGGCCTTCCATCAAGTCTCTTGAGCAGTGGGTGACCCTGTTGGTACCACTCTGTTCAGCAAAAGTCGATTTTCAAACAACTTTTGTTGAAAGAGCTAAACTGAAAAATGTCGGCTGCAGTCACTGTTCGGGTATTCTGCCAGCTGTCAAAAAACAATAGCCAGCAGGGAAGGGATTTGTTGATCCGTGGATGGGGAAATCGAGCGTTTATACACTACCAGTGTATAGCCAGCTTTTTTACATCACTGTGTGTCCATTAATTTTGCTGCCAGTGCCATCTGTACATCTCATAATCAATCTTATCAATTCCATAGCCTGGCTTCCTCCTTTGCGGTGGCTGCATTGACTTATGGGGTCCCTGTGGAGTCATCGCAACATGCACATTCCCCCTCCTGGGACTACAGAGCAACGTCCAGCTCCAACAGGCACAGTGACTCTCCTGCTGAAGAGGACATGTAACCTGTCCACCTCTTTGCAGAATAAACAATGGCCAATGAAGCTTATAAAACAAAAAATCTTTCTTTTTTTTTTAAATTAAAAGAGAACTATGACCCAGCCTTTATTAGCCCAGAGTTCAATTTAGGGTCACAGGAAGACATTTACTAATGTCCTCCTGTGACCCAAAACTCAGAGCCACGCTGCAGCTGGGAAAGATCAAGACAATATTGTTGGGATCCACCCCCTGCCTGATTGACAGCTGGCTCTGCCTCTCTAGAGTCAGTCAGCGCTGGAGGAATAGAGAGGGGAGGGGTAATCCCTGTGGGGAGTGGTGATAGTCGCCATTCCCTGCAGGGAGAAGATTGTGAACTGAGCGATCGGCGGGTATGTGATCGCTCAGTTCCCGATCAATAGAGCTGACCTGTGACAGCTTTAGTTTTACACTTTGGCTCCAATTATGGGGATGAGTGTATTTCACTCTCCCCATTATTCTCTTTTAACAAACACAAAGGTGGTTCCTGGTCCAAAGCTGGTACCAAGCCCTTGTACTTCATAGCTGTTGGTAAAGCTAAAGGGGATTGTACACTCAGATTGTAATGTGTGTGGTGAGCTTTATGCAGACACCACATCAAAGGACTGCTATGCTGCAACATATTACAATTCTCTCCAGCTTTCTGCAAAAGGTATTTGTGATATAATGAAAACCTACGATTACTTGGCAATGACAACAAGAATGTAAAAAGTAAAAGTGATAACAGGGTTGCAGACTGTGAACTATGATAGGTTCTCTTTAAATGGCTCAGTCCACTGAAAAGACACATTTAATTTCCTTGCTCTGTTCCAGTCTGTTTTGGAGTAAAGGGTGTTCCCACGTTTCCTGTTCCATTCTGCATTATATAATTCAATTATAAAAATCCAACAGGAAGAGTAGGACTCCTTCATAAAGGCTGCTTAGGCTGTCCAGACCCAGGACTTCAAATCCCGAGGAATCACTATTAGAGTCGCCTAGAGATGTAAAAATAGATGAAAAGAAAGCTAAGGACAACCCCTTTTTTTTTTGCTTTAGCCTCCTTTTGGGGAATAGAAGGAAATTTACTAATATACTGCTCTGACTCAAAGTCAGCATATAGCGGGTTACTGCCCTCTATATGCTGACAGCGCCGAGCCGCACTGCAGCCGGGAAAGATCCTGACAATACTGTCTAGATCCCCCGCCCCCCCCCCGCGCATGATTGAGAGTTGGCTCTGCCTCTCTAGAGCCAGAGAAAGCTGTGCCCGCCCCCTTCCCTGTCTGTCCCTCCAGTGAACTCTGAAGGAATAGAGAGGAGGGGGGGAATCCATGCAGGTCGTGGTGAATGACAGTCACCGCTCTCTGCAGGGAGATCGTGAGCTGAGCGATCAGTGGTTTGTGACCCCTTTAGATCCCTCTATAAAGCCGACATGTGACAGCTGCAGTGTCCCACACCGGCTCAAAGTATTGGGAAGAGAACATTTTACCCTCACAATACTTCTCCTTTTAATTCCTGAAATATCAGCTTTTGGCGGACTGACCCTCTTTAACCAATTAAGGAAGCAGAGATCGGCACACTTACTGTGCGGGTGGTAGCGGCAGAGTCGTCCGATGTGGGCATCCAACAGCCAAATGTCTGTGCCCTACTCCTCCTCCGATCGCGCAGAGATAGGACAGCGCAATGGTTAGAAGATTCACGGATTATGATGGATGTAAAGAAAGGTGACCTGCGAGGAAAGAGAGAAGTATTACTACACAATACAAGATGAAGAGCAATACATTTCCAGTGGGCAGCTTCTATGTACCTGCATTGATTTCCCAGCTGGTCCCCTGAACACTGGCACTGATATTCTGTTTTAGGGTGACTCCTTTCCCTTGCAGGGTCCTATGGAGCCACCCTTGTGTAGGGGTCTTCCTACAACTCACATTGTGTGAACAAGCAGGACTCACATCTCAGGGAACCGATTGTCCCTTATTATGGTCAGGGAGTCTCTTATTTGTTAAAGTTCTATTACACTCTTAAATGTTTTTCCAATAATAAGTTTGAATCAGATAAATATACATTTCCCAGCAAAAGATTTTTTAATTTTTGCCCAAGCACTTACAGTCATCATGTTTCCAAACAGCTCTAACTCTCTCATCTCAGCTTCCCTGCAGTTCCTGTCCAGTACAAGATCACAATGGACAGAGCAGTCTCCAGCAACTATTCATCTACTAGCTTGGAGAAGGGAGGAAGGAGGAGGGGAAGCAGTGATGAGGGAAGTGTCTTGTTTTGCTGTGTCTGTGTGTTTGTGGAGACACACAGCATACTAGCACACACAAGGGTGGCTCCATAGGACCCTGCAAGGGAAAGGAGTCACCCTAAAACAGAATATCAGTGCCAGTGTTCAGGGGACCAGCTGCGAAATCAATGCAAATTACATTCTGGTGCCAAACTCAGGACCCCAGTGCTGCAAGACTGGTCTGCTAGCAACTTAGCCAACGGTGCTACTTTCTCCAATACATTATACCCATTACTGACTAACCTATGTAACTAAGGATGACACACAATAGGGTGTCCATGTATAAAAGGATGTCATAAAAATGACGTCATTGCGCATGCGCGGCCATCTGATTGACGTCTGCCGGTGGCCATCTTGGTGATGGATGCCGTCAGAGAGAGGAGGGGACGTTCATCTGGCGGGATGAGGTATGCCGCCAATGTGTTTGGATACACTTTAAACTCCAAATTGTACGCACAAATGGATGACAAACACAGAACAATATTCTACTACTGTGCTCTATGTGGTCTGATTAAGTAACAGAATGTCCCAAATAACTGCATGTGAAGAACATACAAATATTACAACTTCCATAACTCGGCAGTGACGTCTCTCTTCATACTATAGTGTATACAATGTTGGTGTTCCTCTACTGAGCTACTCAGGCCAAATCCGAACACTCACATACCCGCCCAGCCCCAAAATCAGAGTGACATGCATGGCAAAGCTGTATTTCCTAAGACAGTCAGCATACATTTCAGATGCAGAATCCACACGGAGCCATATTATGCTAAAGCTCATAGCAGAGACCATTGCTGAGGCCTCCTGCTTGCAGTATTGTTGGGATTAGCCATGGCTCTGAACTGCTCTTTTCTGGATGGGGAATTAAAAGCTCCCAAGTCTGGCAGGCGGTGTAATGCTATAGACAGGCACGGCAATCGTCTTATCCACCATGAACAGCACCTGGAGTGGTGGCAACCACCATCTCCCCCAACATTCTCCAACAAAGCAGTACCAGCTCCATAGGCACTTTTATCTAACTAAACACATTGCTACCCTGCGCCCTCATTATTACTGTTTGTAGATGAAGTCAAAGAAAGGAATAAGAGGATGTTCTATAGCACAATTATATGGCCATGATTGTCCAAACTGTTTAAGGCAGGGGTAGCCAGACTCCGGCCCTCCAGCTGTGGTGGAACTACAAATCCCGTGAGGCATTTCAAGATTCTCACAGCCACGACTCCTGGAGAGAAATGCATCATGGGATTTGTAGTTTCACCACAGCTGGAGGGCCGGAGTTTGGCTACCCCTGGTATAAGGCAACCCAGCTTCTGGGATCTGGGTCATTAAAACACAAATAACGGGGTCATAACCATGGCAGACAACATCCAATTGCCCTCCAGAAATGGCGAAGGCCAAGTATTCAATAAACAGGAATGTTCAACTTGGCCAGACGGTCCTATTCATAGAAATGGAAACCTGCCGCAGATTGGATATTGACAGAGGGCAAGATCAGGGATTTTAGAGGTCCATGGGAAGATCAGGGATTTTAGAGGTCCATGGGAAGATAAGGGATTTTAGAGGTCCATGGGAAGATCAGGGATTTTATAGGTCCATGGGAAGATCAGGGATTTTAGCGGTCCATGGGAAGATCAGGGATTTTAGAGGTCCATGGGAAGATCAGGGATTTTAGAGGTCCATGGGAAGATCAGGGATTTTAGAGGTCCATGGCAAGAACATGCATTTTAGAGGTCCATGGCAAGAACAGGAATTTTAGAGGTCCGCGGCAAGAACAGGATTTTAGAGATCCAGGGCAAGAACATGCATTTTAGAGGTCCGTGGCAAGAACATGGAATTAAGAGGTCCTTGTCAAGAACATGCATTTTAGAGGTCCATGGCAAGAACATGCATTTTAGAGGTCCGTGGCAAGAACAGGAATTTTAGAGGTCCATGGCAAGAACAGGAATTTTAGAGGTCCATGGCAAGAACAGGAATTGTAAAGGTCTGTGGCAAAAACAGGAATTTTAGAGGTCCATGGCAAGAATAGGAATTTTAGAGACCAATGACAAAAACAGGAACGTAAGAAGTCCATGGCAAGAATGGGAATTGCAGAGGCCCATGGGAAGAAGACCATAACACATTAATCCTATTATGTGATGCATGCCGTAAAGCTAGAATACAGGAACATATTATACAGGTGTTAGTCTTCATTCTGTAAGCGGTAGCAGGAAAATGGAAACTGAAGTTTGGATGCTGTAGGAAACAAATCAACTAAATTCAAGTTTTTAAACACAAGCCCATCATAAGATACTAAACTCATCCATCTTGTATAGTGTACAGAATACACACTGATCACTGATCCCAGGCCTCTGTTGTCATCATTGTCAGTACGATCCTGCTTCCCACATATCCTGGAAACACTGTCTCCGTGGCAATGGTTGCCAGGCTACAGGATTCTGACGGGATTAAGGATGGTGGAGACGATACTGCAGAGGTAAATAGTCTTAAGATAGGTCTGGCCGGGGTTCCTTAGGTGCATAGTATGATGAAGAGAGCAGGTGATGTCTCTGAAGAAAGCAGTGAGGATGGACGATGCAGACAAGATGGGAAGATGGATTTTCCTGCAGTCACGTTCAGTCTTAGTCATGTGGCGGATTTATGAGGACGACAGAGAATGGTCTTGATGAAGGAAGTGGAAGTTACCTGATGTTAACCCAAGACTATAAAACACACAACTGTCTTTATTACGCTCCCAGATCCAGAGAACAGTGTTCAGAAGATCAAGGCTTTGTGTTCATGTCCTGTCTATTGCCCCATTCACGCCAGGGTGGAAGCTTTTCAGCGCGGTTTCCGCACGATTTTTGAAATGGTGTTTTTGGGCGTTTTTAATCAGTTTCAGTGCTTAAATGCAATTAAAAATGCCCAAAATTGAAATGTGCTGTAATCTGC